AAGGCTGAACTAGTGGCCAAGATGTGCTGTCTGCTGCCATAAATGGCCAGTCTGCCACCATTAATGGTAACTCTGCCAGAGAAATAGTAGATTGAAGAGTATTGGGAGAGATTGAAGAGATTAGGAGTACACAAGCAGAGCTCAAAATGAGAGCCTGGAAACTGTTACAAATTGATGATTTTGATTTTGTCTTACCAGGGACAGTAAGAGTCTTCAACAAAGAATAGGATGCTGAGCGCATGAATGAACAGTCTCTTTGGAGAGTTGCTATGATTTCTTTAAAGAGAAGTCCTGTTTGACTAAACTCTATGAGGGTGTCAGTAAGCATGGGGATAAGGGCATCCCAGGAACATAATTGATTTGAATTTTTTGAAGAGCCTTTGATTCTATATAAACTCTTATTTTTAAAAGAAGTGTACTAGAAGAAATGTTCATTACTAGTCTTGCAGCGGATTAGAGTTGAAAGCCAAATAGGATATAGTGATTTTTTTTATTTTTTTTTTTTTTTTTATGACACAGTCAATTGTCATGTCCCTCAGGGATTCATGCTGGGAGCAGTTTTGGGCAACAGCTTCATTCGTGACCTGAAGAAGGTAGTGAACAGAAGTTTGTGGACAGTGTTAAGTTCTTATGGGTAGTCAAATGCTGTGTCGAGGAAAGGAACTCCAAAAGGACACGTAAAACAGTGGGAAGGCAAATTGGTGTTAGAAGAGCTTTAAACGCAAAAGAAAGCATCTAGCTAACAGTCATGTAAACCTTCTTTACACAATGTTGAGCTGAGTCACAACACAGGGAAAGGTCTTGGAGTCATCACTGGCAGTTCTCTGAAATCATTGGCTCAGCACAAGCAATTTTCAAAAAAGGTAACAATATGTCACCACCGTATCTCCAGGAAAGCTATTGAGAACAATACAGAGGTGATGTTTTGTCACTATACAAAACCTCAAGTGTGTCCATATCTTGAATACTGGGTAGAGCTTCAGTGTTTGCATCTCAAGAAGGAAGTGGTGAATTAGAGATGATACAAAGGGGATAGAGTAGCTGCCTTAAAAGGAAAAACCTTCAAAGTCTGGGATGCTTCAATTCAAAGAGAAGAAGGCTGAGGTGTAGATGCTGTCAAATTGTACAAAACCAGAAAAGCACTGGATAAACTGAATGTGTAATTGTTCGCCAAATTGTGCAACACAAGAAACATTAAATGAAAGTATCGTACACGTCAGGTTTGAATTTCTGGAGCATATTGCCACATGAGATTGTGAAGGGGGAAGTACCAACAGTCATGAGGGAATAAACAGAGTCATGAGAAACATAGGACAGGACAGGGATAATATCTTCTGGTAGTCCCTAGTAAAACAATTACGGATGCTGGAGAAGTATGAGGGGAAGATACTGCAGGAAGCAATAGGCTCATGTGCTTGCCCTAAATGGCATCTTTCGTTGCTTCTCCTGGAACCAGAGTGCTAGGTTATGGCTATCTCTGTTGTGAGTAGGATATTATTTCTTAAGTTATTACACTTTGGTTGTTTAATGAAGACATTTGCTCAGAATTTTAAATGGACTCAGGGCAGGAGGCTGACTGAGCTTGTCCGAGAGAATGGCGTCTCCTAATTGTGATCCACTGGTATTGCTCAGTGCCAGAAAGGAAGAATAGACTGGGCCTTTATTTTACTGGTGTCACATACATCATCACTTCTTCCAGTTTCTTTGTATCCGAAGTTATCCAATCAAAGTGATGGAGTACCATAGCTTAATGAGTAACCACATTTGAGCTGATGCACAGTGACTGACCAAATGCAGCAATTACCTGCCCCTCTTGCCAAGGAAAACACAGTAGCTTAAACCATGATTTAGTCTGACAAATGATTTGTGGTTTAAGCCTAGTACCTCTTGATTCACAGACCAACATACAGTCAGTTACTGCAATTTGGGTGATGAATGTTAACTCATTAGGCTCCAGTACTGAAATTTTTTCCAACTGAAATCCCTACCCTTTGTATTTTCCCTCTTCTTTTCAGGCTTTTCCTCTGTAGTGTCCAGCACTCTGGTCTTACTTAGGAAAGGACGGTGTGTGTTTAGGGATCAGAAGTGTAACTTGCTAGGACCCAGAACTCCACATTCAACTCAACAAATGCTGTTTAGATCACTTTGTATTTTGGTAACTGATGTAACGTCAAAGCCACTGATACAATGAAACACACGTGCGGTCTTGGCTGTGGAAGCAGGGTCAGACAGAGCTGGATCAATGACGGTATGGCTTTTAAAGGGAGCTCTTGTCAACACAAGTGCAACAGACCACCATCTCCTCTCTATCCGTGACTAGAAGAAAGGAATTAGAAACCACTTTGAACCAGATGGTGATTCCTTCTAAATGAAATAGGGGTCTTGAGCTTAGTATTTTCTCTACAGCTCAGTTTACTCTTCGTATCTTGCAGAAGGTGCATTTGGTGCATCTTGCTGCACTTTGTCTTGTGCAAAGAAGACTGCAGCTCAAACAAGCCTGAGGAAATTAAAAGAAAAAGGAAAAAAACCCCACCCAATTGTGCAAAAGGTAGAAAGAAAGGAAAGAGAATCAATGTAGAATGTTTCATATCTCTTAATTGCTTAGCTGTTGTCTTGAGGTCACATACCTCTATGCAACATTGACAACCAAAATAGTCTAATGACTGTTAGCTAGGAAATGACTACATTTAAAATGTGACAACAAAGGAACTGCCATTAACAATGCTAGTAATTCTTACTTGTTAACAAACACTTTTTACTGCTTTCCATCTGGGTTGTTTTATCATGTTGCAAACATGAAGCTTTGAACATCTTTGAGAGAGTTAGCATGCTCTTAAACATCCAAATCCACTAATACTGAAAAGAGTGAATCAAACATGTAAGCATAGGAGCAGAACAGAGATCACCTTGTTCTTTCGATGGTTATCTTACATACAGCTAACTAGCAACAGATCAAAATGACTGGACAGAAGTTAAAGAACAGTGTGTGCATCGGCAATGCTTGCCTGTTTTACTAATCCTAAAATGAATACTGGAAATGCAAAACCTGAAGGATGTATGTCAAGAAGCTAAACATAGATTCATCCAACAGAGGTTGTTGCTCAGCACATTTCTTGTCTCTGCCTGTGGAAAGTCACCCTCCGAGCAGGAGAGGGGCAATCACTCTGTCTAATGTCTTTCTGAAACTATTAAAATTCCACCATGACTGCAGTCCCCTCCAAATTGTAAATGAAGAGTTTGTGATATGAGTTTAAATGAAGTCTTCTTTCTCTTTCATTTCTTCAAACCACCCTTGTAGCAAAGGGTAAGTGGAGGCCTGATCCTTCTCTTTCACTGGCAGATCAGTATTAGTTTTGATAGGATTGCAGAACTGAGGGACAAATTAATCCACAACTCAAGCTGTAGAGTAAAGTTTGACACACCACCTTAGATGTTATGCCTGTTTTGCAGGCAGGTCAGGGTCATTAAGAACTGAACCCAAGGCCTTGACAAGCCTCACCTCTTGGTAGCCTCATAGCCTCACCTATGGACCCTCTGCCCATATACCTACTGCCCAGTGCTCCTGGAGCTCCACTTAAGCTCACACTGTGATGTAGCTCTGGTGCAGACTGGGTCTGTATCTGTGCTCAACCCCGTTTCTGCTGCCAGTCACAGAAGGCCAATCACATCCTGGGCTGCATCAATACAAGTGTTGCTAGCAGGTTCAGAGAGGTGATTCTTCCGCTTTGCTCTGGTGAGACCTCACCTGGAGTATTGTGTGCAGGTCTGGAGCCCTCAATATAGGAAAGATACGGACCTGATGGAGCAGTTCCAGAGGAGGGTCACGAGGATGATCAGGGGCTTGGAGCACCTCTGCTATGAGGACAGGCTGAGGGAGCTGGGGTTGTTCAGCCTGGAGAAGAGGAGGCTCTGGGGAGACCTAATAGTAGCCTTCCAGTACCTGAAGGGGGCCTACAGGAAGGCTGGGGAGAACCTGTTTAGAAAGGCTTGTAGTGACAGGACGAGGGGCAATGGCTTTAAGCTGGAGGGGAGCAGATTTAGACTGGAGATTAGGAGAAAGCTCTTTATTGTGAGGGTGGTGGAGCTCTGGAACAGGTTGCCCAGGGAGGTGGTTGAGGCCCCTTCCCTGGAGATATTCAAGGAGAGGCTCTATGAGGCCCTGGGCAACCTGGTCTAGTTGGGGGTGTCCCTGCTGACTGCGGGGAGGTTGGACTGGATGACCTTTCGAGGTCCCTTGCAGCTGGACAACTCTATGATTCTATATGACTAATTACCTTGCCATGTCTGATGATCACCAGACTGTCACCATCACCACCCCTGCCCTGATTAAATAGTGCAGGATGTTGTCCTGGTCAGAGAGGTAACAGCTCCTGCCTGGTTTGTGGCTTTCTGCAGCTCAGCTCTTCTTGTTCCTTGGCTGTTAGCTCAGGTTTCTGTGAAGAACCTGCAGTTCTACTGTCAGACATACTGCAGAGCAACATAGCTTTGGCAAGGACTGCAGGAACCTAATCTGATGGGGCTCCTGGTGGTATGGGTGGAGGGGTCAGGTGAGGCTGGTCAGGATAATTAAGGAAAATTAGTGCATTTGGGACCCTGATGCAGAAATTAAGCTTGCATAGCTTATTGGTACTGGAACTGAGAAAGGCAAAGGGATTTTGTAGCTATTAATGTATTATCTCAAGGTGTGGGGAGGCACAGCAGCCAGCAGTTGGTTAGTTTACATGTGAGTTCAACTCTGTTATTGCTAAAAGTGTTTTCTTTCTTGTTTGGAAGATGTGAGTGGACAGGATCAAGAACCTTACTGTGCTGCTTGAGAATAGTGCATTCAATTCATGCAGTGTCCAAAACTTTCCATTAACTTGTCCCTTGACCTTACTGACAAAATAATAGACAAAAATAAATGGTTTTATGATCTCTGATACTATTTCTCTGTATTGGTTTTGAGAAAACATTCATATAAATGCAGAAGATTAAAATATATTCTGACTTTGTACTTCCAGGTTCCTGAGCATGCAGAACTTGCCTGGATTCTTGGGTGCTTAACTAACGTGCCACGTCTACTACGCTTGCCCCAGTGGAAGGTATGGATAGTTTCATAAATTGAAAGGAAGTGTTTGTGAATTCAGTAGGACTGCTGTCCTTGAAATACTTGTTATCTGTGAAGTACCAGTTGTATCTTGTCTATCTTTGCTTTTGGTTTTAGTAACTCTCTGGTCCTATGGTGGAAGGAAGAAAATGTGTCTTTTCAGGTCTGTTGCTCTCAGTGAAGGTTTTTCTGCTGGAAGCTACAGGATAATATTTTTGGCAGACTTGCAGAAACTGTACTAAACAGGAGGGTTGTTTACTGTTGTTAAAGTGATTTTGCTAGAATGCTTGGAGTTATTTCAATGTTTATTTCATAATGCAAAACAACTACAAGATACTTCGAGATATTGTAGTGGAAACCTTGAGCCTTGCTGTTTAAGGAGTTCCATAAACAACTTTTCTTTTTCCACTGTGAAGAGTGGCTGTTCTGTAGATTTTATGGAAGAGGGTGCAAAAAAAGCATATGTTGAAAGAAGTGTATAGAAATTATAAATATTAGAAATGTGCTGACTGATAAAATTAATGCACCTTAAATCTTTGCCTTTACAATTTTCAAATATTCATCTTCTTAATCTTGATACTGCTTCAATGTGACTACATCAACTGAATTCTTGCGTTTAATTTCCTTCTATTTTATTTTGGCATTTAGGAAGCAGAAAACCCAAAAGGCAGGAGAGAGAAATATCAAAAAGGGAAGAAAAAAAAAATCTTAAGAGCAGTTTGGCTTGCAGAGTTCAGAGCAGTCTTAAATACCTCCAGATGTTTTCTTTTTTCCTGTTTTTCTTCTTAATTAAATAAAAACAGTAAAACTTAAATACAGCAACCAGCGTTAATGCATGGCATAGATTAAAGCCAACCTTTTTAAACCTGAGGTTCTAAAGTTAAGCTCTTAAATCCAGCTTTGACTGGATTGACTTTCCAAATCCACAGATAGGTGTTACAGGTGCTAGGCTTTGCAGATTAGGTCCCCTGAACCCTGGGCACTTAGAGGTGTAGACAGAAGACAGGATTTGCATGAGAGAGTGAGAAAAATATAAAGATATTTAAATAGTCTTAATGAAATAATTAAGATTTTAAGGGGTTTAGTGTATTTAAGGATTGTTAAAAGCAAAAAACTAGGTAAACCATTGCTAGAACAGAGTGAGTGTCTGTAGTCTGACTGTCTTGGTTAAAATGATCCATATCCTAGAGCAGTAAAAAACTTCAGTGCAGTGGGTGGATTGTGGGGAGCAGCATGAACTAATGGAGAGGACTCTGCCTCTGTAGTTCTGAGTTCTCCTCCTGGCTGTCGCTCTCTCCTGGTTACTGTGTTTGGTCACGATGTCTTGATCTCTTTTCTGTGAAACACGGGTATTAATGCCTCTTTGTGTCTCTATAATATTATAAAGTGTTTCAAATACTGCTGAAAATGCTATTTAAAAAGTAGGGTTTATCAATAGTAAGTGTAATAAGCGATCCTAATTGTTTTGTATTTGTAATAATTTTTGTTAGTAAGATTACAAATGCAGTGAGAAAACCCAAGCCTGTGTTTTCTCCTCACTACAATGTCAGCACCATGTAGGGAAATTCACTAATACAGGACATAAAATGGGATGTGTGTATTCAAAAGGAGTGGATTTTACATGGCAATTTTCTCTAGAGCTATGCAATAAGTTACTCAAATTAGTCGGAATTCTGATTAATTTAAATCACAGGCTTTGACATCATTAGCCAAAAGTATGATTCCTCTCTGTTTTTCTTTTGCAAACAGATGAAGCGTGCCAGCCAGAATAATGAAGGAACTGTTGGTTTGTTGACTTACCCAGTGCTTCAAGCAGCAGATATTTTGCTGTACAAGTAAGAGGCAGAACGTGAGCCCGTGGCCAATGGCTGTTCAGCTGCGTTAGAACGAATGTTCGTCAGGTCAACATGCTCACTTATTAAGCGAGGGAGCTGGGTGTGATTAGATCAGAAGATTGGAAATGGATGACAGCTTTTTACCTCTCAAGTGGCTGGTTGAAAACTAGCCTGGTTTGAAGGCAACTGACAGGGCTGTATAGAGGAAAAGCTGGTCACTTCAGAACAATTCTTAGGGAATTATAACACATTGATATTTAATGATACATATTGCATGTTCACACACATATACATAGATATTTTTTTAAGTAGTTATGCTTCATTTTATGCACTGTACTGCAGAGATACTTAAACTGGCTGTATGTAGTATGCCCATATTAGTGTGGGATTCTGTGTAGGCCTGTTGATACTGGTGAAGAAGTGAGTAATTTACTGCACCTTGTGGTGCTGCAGTTTTCTCTGTGGTTTAATGTGTACTGCAATGGAAATACACCCTAATGAGGGACTGGTGACTCAGCATGGCTAAGTTTGTAGCCTAGCTGATAGTTTATAGTGCATTGTCGTGACTGGGTGTATTTCATAGTATGTTTTAAGCTGTAAGTAAATGTTAGAGATGCTGCACTACATATTAATTATTTGTATGTTCCGAGCACATTTACTTCGTAGAATTGTTCTGAAGTGAAGTTGTGAATATTTGTTGGGACAGAGAAGTAATACAGAGCTATGAGGACAGAGTAACCAAGATTAGCCAGTTGTTAACCCAGAAAAGTGTATCTAGAGAAATTTAATCCTAAGCGACTGTTAGTAGGGGAAAACCATAATGTTGAAGACCAGTAGAGGAAATTTATAATTTACCTGAATTTTAACTAAAAATAATGAGAAGCAAGCAAAAGTCGGAATCAATTTGAACATTAAAATATTCTTCTAAGAAGCAAGTCCCAGTTGATTGTCAAGCAGTATTTAAGGGTGAAATTTAGACAACTTTATCTGAAATTGCCTTGTTTTGATTGAGCTCAACCATGTATGTCTCTTCCATCTCTAATATCTCTAATAAGGTCATGTGATTCATCATTCCCTAGTGGAGCCTGTGGTTTGTTTGCTACCTGTGTATTAACAGCAGGCTGTCCAGATAGAATACAAAACAAGGAAATGAAAGAGAAACACTATCTCATTGAAGAAATTTGACATAATATCTTTAATAAGAGATGTTTTAATGTAAAAACATAATATAGGGAACAAGAATCAGGGTGAAACGGAAACACAGGAAGGGAACGGCAGTCATGAAGAAAAATTAAGAGCTGGAGGAGGGGAAGAAACAGTACTAATTCAGATGAACCAAGAATCAAAGAGACAGGAAAATGGTCAGAAGGTAAATATATGATAGAAAAGAATGCAAATAGCACCAGGACAGAAATATTTAAAAAACAGCAAGGAAAAAGGCAAAGAATCATACAGAGGCATTTATAAAGACAATATGTTTTCTGTTTAGTGGCAAACTTTGTGAATATGGAACCATTTTGGCATATGGAAACATTTCTTTTGACCTGCTTAAAGGATATTGACTATGGTAACTGATTTTCTTTCTGTTAGTTGTAGGCCACTGTGATTTCCTATTGGCTACTGTAACTGCCTTGCTGATTATTTGGTGGGGAATAAAGGTGGACAAATTGATTCCTGGATGTCAGCCCAGTAATTCAGAATCGGAAGGAAGGAGTACCATGTTGAACTGAAATTTTCTGGGAACTTAAAAGATGCATAGCGAACTTTCTTACGCTGGAACATATCCAGGATTCAGAGCTGAATACCCCACAAGCCTTAGAAAAAAAAAAATCTGCTGGGGGAGGGGAGAGTAATCAAAAGCTGGCAAGACTTCAAGTCTGCCTCATCTAAAAGAATCATACATTTTTAGTGAGTATGATTAACTGTGGGAAAGAATCACCAGGGGAAGTAATGGATTCTTTACCTCCTCATGTCCTCTGGTGCAGACTGTGTTTTCCTCAAGCTATTGAGTTCAATACAGAAGATCAAATGGGCCTTTGATCCTGATAGTTCTAATCTATGAATGATAACACCGGTGGCAGTTGAGGTACTCACCCACATGATATTCATATAATGGCAACCTATGAAGAAGAACTACTCCCTGTTCCTTCCCTTGATAAATCCACAGCACTAACTTCTCAATAATGGTTATGTTTTCCTGAGACTTGACAAGGCTTTATGCCTTGTGTATCTTTTTTACTTTGTTCACACACTGTAACACGTGCTTTTTGATTGCTGAAGAGACGTCAGGAGATACTACAAAAACCTTTCTTTGAGCTGAATTTAATGATTTGGTCTTATTAGTACTTTTACCGTATATTTGTGAAGGGCTATTTTTGCCCTTGGATATGGGATTCAGTTCAGCACAAAAAGCAAACTCATCCTGGCATACGGTCAGTTTGGGATCTTGTTCCCACAGCACCTATCTCTCACTGGGACTGAGCGTTTGGCTCAATCTGGCCCTCACTCATAGCAGAAGCTGTGACAGTCTTGAGTAACATTTCAACAGAACCAGAGAGCTTTGCTGAGTTTCCTGTATCTGTCTTCTATTAAAAGGTCGACACATGTTCCCGTTGGAGAAGATCAAGTCCTGCACCTGGAACTAGCTCAAGATATAGCACAACATTTCAACAAGAAATACGGAGAATTCTTTCCTGTGCCCAAAGCCATTTTAAGTGAGCTGGTCTTGGTTATTTTTTTTTTTTTTTTTTTCCCCCTTAACTGCACTTCAAGTTTGAAGATGGATTTAAATATTGTGGAAATAGTTTCAGGGACCAAGAAAAGAGAGCGGAAAATTGAAAACTGACAACAAGAGAGTAGCGGCTGTGAAACTGAACTCCCAAGATAGACATAAGGCTTTACATATCCCCGATAGAGGAATGTATGCGACGTCTGGTATTCTAGTCCAGGGGGCCAGATGTACTCTGCTGCTGCTGGTCAGCCTTGCATTTCAGGTATTGGACCCTTTAGGAGTAGGGTCTATGATCCATGTTGCTAGTAAGGAACAAGACAAGAGACTTCTAGCAAGCAGAATTCTTTAGTGTCTGAGTGGTAGATGTTTACATTAAACGTGCTGAACCCCTTGTAGGTTTATTGCTACAATGCTTAAAAAAATCTTTTTAAGTGTGTTTAATATATACTTGCGTAATTCAGTAAGAGTCTCTTATAGAACTTGGACTTTCCAGTTTTCATCTGAGACTTATAAGGAAAATCTTCTCAGTCATTTTTGAGCTATAAGGTCATAGGCCGGGGGGTGAGGAGGAGTCAGATGGCGCAAATGGCATGTTTGTTAAGAAACGTGAAGAATTGGGCAAGGAAGAAGCATTGCATCTTTGTTGTAAGTAATGTAGAGGAATGCACAGCAGAGACCTTCGCCCCCAAAAGGGCAAGGAGCTCTCACCTTAGAAAAGACAGGCAATAATAAACCTTTCTCAGTTTTCAAGCCTCAGTGACAAAAATGGTGTTAGACCTAAAGTGGAACTTAGAGACTACTAGGTATTGCAAGCACTGTAGTTTCTAATGAACAATTAATGCTAAGCACTGTAATGAGGAGCTGAGTGGAGCCTGTGATGCAGGTGAGACTGTTTCCGAGGAAATTAAAAGCTCAATTTGGGGAAAAAAAACCAACAGCATAAAACCAAACAAAAAACCACTTCACTTTCTTCATGAAAGCATACCTTCCGTAGTGCACAAGTATCTGCATCCTAGATGAATGGAGAAGTTAAAGACCTATTCACACTCACCAACCATAGGCAATTACCTGGCAGTTACCTGTAGGAGTACCTGAACTCCTTCAAGTCTACAGAAGAGGGAGAGACTCTTCCCAAAGGTGATTCAGGACAGAGCACTTCCTGGGACAGTCTGAATTGTACCCTGGAAGAACAATTATCCTTTCACTGAGTGCATAATTTAGTTGGCTGTATTAGGTGTCTAAAAACAATTGGTGTGAGTACTTTCTCCATCAGTGGTACTTTGTGTGCTCCATGGATGAGGTTTCTTGGTGAAAGTCTGAAACAGTTTGGGTTGACGCTGCTAAAGAAAGTACTTTATGATATTCCCCTAATGCTACTAGTCTGTTTCGTGTACACCATATATCTTAGTAGTTTGTACAATACCCACACCTCTCTTACCTAAACAGTGCTTTCCCTCTAGCAAAGTTGATTAGTGTTCAGTTAGGGAACTCTTAATAACTGTCTTTATTGATATTTTGGAGAATTATCTGGAGATTTTGGGTGGAAGAGTTTTGTAAAGTAAGGAGATTAACTTTTCTGGGTTTCTTTTTTGACTGGTGGATTTAACCTATTTTTCCACTGTTACAGAACCTTTTAGTAATGTGCAGTTTGTTCTGTTTGGGTGACTTGTCCCCAGTGCCTGAAATACGAGGGAGGAGAGAGTTTGGGGGGAAAATCAGCACATAGCCACAGAAAATGTTAGGAAGTGTCCCAGCAGAAGTTTCTGCTTAAAGAGGAGGGGAGAAATGACGCAGGTTTTAATTTAGTTTATAGGAGGAGAAAAGTGACTAAGAAGTAGAGAGAGGGTTCAAGGACTAAATATAAGCATACATTATTGTGCTTACAACTTATTTTTAAGCAAGGGTAAACACAGAACTTTGTCATGCTGCTGCAAAGTGTTCTTAGCAATTGTCGTAAGAAACCATTGCCTCTGTGTGTTTGTAATTATTCCTTTCTTTTTTTTTAAGGTACAACAAAGAAAATAAAATCTCTCAGAGATCCAACAGTGAAGATGTCCAAGTCAGACCCACAGAAACTAGCTACTGTTAACATAGCAGATAGCCCTGATGAAATAGTGCTGAAATTCCGCAAAGCTGTGACTGACTTTACCTCCGAGGTGACCTACGACCCAGCTGGTCGCCCTGGTGTCTCAAATCTGGTGTCCATCCATGCTGCAGTAACAGGGCTTAGCGTAGAAGAAGTGGTGCATCAATCTGCCGGTCTCGACACTGCTCGCTACAAAATGGTGGTGGCAGAGTCAGTTATTCAAAAATTTGCACCTATCAGGAATGAAATCAAGAAACTCCAGGCAGACAAATCCCATCTGATAAAGGTTTTAGAGGATGGAGCAGAGAAGGCTAAAGAACTGGCTGCCCCCATCTACCAAGAAATAAGACGACTGGTGGGATTTCAGTAGAAACTACTGGATAATTGCAAGGACTTTTGTTTCCTGGGACAGACATTTTATTATTTGTATCTTCTTAATCATTTTTGTTTGAAACAAAACCTCTTTTTGCTGGAAAAACCAAGTAGAACATTGCAGGTGTTTGCATTAAAAAAATGTGCATGAAGCCAGATATTTCCAGTGGGACCAGCATTGAGCTTGGCTGGATAGTCAAAGAGGGAAGCAATCATAATTCACAAAGAAACGCTGCAAAAGCAGAATATAAGATTGGCCAAATGAGGGTTTGGGTTTTTCTGTTGACCACTGCAAGAAGCTGAGATGTGGGCAAGGTGATCAGAACCTATCAGAAATATTTGTAATCTTTTGAAGAACATCTTTAGCTGTGCGTGTGATCTTGTTACAGATGGACAGTACATCCTGTTGGTGGTTAATTCAGCTTTGGTATGATGGTTGAAGGTGTTCTTGGATGACCAGAATAAACGCACAAGCTTACAAATCATCATGCTCAGGGTGATGAAGAGAGAATTCACTGCCTCTCCCTATCATGTCGTCAAACTCAGTGTAATTTTGTATTGGCATCTAGTTTGTGTGAAGTGAGTCGGTGCGTCTTATGGATATCCATACTTGGAAACTCATTGTGACTGCTGTGCTAGATGGCCTCTTTGACAGTCCCTCCAAGGAATCCAGAGAGTGGACTTGAATTTCACTTCTGCCACCTGTGCTGTCCTGCTGGTCAGGTCTAGAGTACTTCAGTGAGAAAAAACCTGTGCTTCAGCTGCTCCTGTTCCACCTGCTGTTTGGTTTAGCAGGGAGCTCCAGGATTTTCAGTTCAGCATGAAGCCTAGGATTCCTTTAGAAAAGGTGCAGGGGAAAACATGTAATCTTGTGTGAAGGAAACGCTAGGTTGAGAAATCTGAGAACTTCCTGTAAAATTTACAGAATTACTTGTTTAGAAAATTATGCTGAGGTCAGAGAGAGACTGAATAGATCCTTATGAAATCTCCCTCAAGAAAGCTCAGTGATGGGAGAATGGTGTTAGGCTTTGCTGATCTTGGGCCTCACGAGACCCACAGACTAGGACCCAGCAACCATGGCATTTGTTGGGGCACGTGTGGCAAAGAGGAATTGTCAAAAGGAGACCCACCCTTCCAAAGAGGAGGTACTAGTACAGGTTGAAAGGTAATGAAAGCCCTACTGGTCCTGTGCTAGCATGTTTACATATATCATTGCACTTAATGGTGCTGTGTTTGAAATCGCTGTACTGTAATGTAAATTGAGTTCATCCTGTACTCTGGCAGCTCATAACCTTTATATGGCTATGGCATTTGTCACAAAGAGTTGCAGTCTTACCTGACTGAGTTAGTAAAACTATGAGGGTTTCTATGTCATGCGGTTGTTTGGGTTTTTTGAAAAGAAAAAAAAAAAAAGTTATTTAGTTTTAAATTTAGTTAATTATCATAGTGAGATGATTCAGAAAGAATTATTTAATTTTGCAAAACGGGAAGTTGTAGACTGAGCGTCTGCGGATCTGTGCTGAGACCTGTATTTATTTGTTAGGGATCTGAAGAAGACAACTGCCATGCAAGAACTTGATGATGACAGAGTTTTTAAAGTTAGTCAAGACTAGACGAGCAGAGTGGATGGAGACAGAATGGTGGGAAACCAAAGGTGGTGTAGACAAGTCCAAGGTAATGTCCTCTGGCAAGAATAAGTGTATTTGAAAATAGTCCCTGTTTTCAAATTAGCTGTAGAGGATTGGTAAAGGGCACAGTTATAACTGTGTATTTAGGTAGTTTTACAAAACTTATGTCAGTGTTTAACAACTGCATTAGTCTGGGAACATTAGCACACACTGTTACTGCTGCTTACTGACTTGGCATAGAGTGTTTGCGGTGACACTTTTTAACACGGGTTGATTTCTGCAAAGGTGCCACAACAGTTTCCTTAGAACCTTATGTTAGAGAAGCTAACACAGTGCTCAGGGAGATCATTCAGCAGTAGTTTATCTAGTTTCTACCTCTTCCTCTATTTTACTAACAAAGATAGCAGCATGTATTCAAAAGATTAATCATAGTTTCATGGTGTCTTTTACACTTCTGATACTGTAATCACCTAACATATGGTTGGCATTCAACACACCTTCTTTGCAACCAAAAGGAAATAGGAGTATTCATATGTCTTCAATACAATTTATTAATTTTTAAAAGAAAGAGGGGGGAGAGGGAATGGCACAACAGGCAATTCTGACTCATTACCCAAGCTGTTCAGAGCTGTCTTTCCAAAACTGTTAGATCTTTGTAGAAAATCATGTGGTTGAAGCAGGAAGCAAAGCTTCAAAAGAGCCCTTTCTTTGGGGTGGGAGTTTAATACATTGCCTATTTAGCTGTGTTTAAAACATATTTACTATTTTCTCTCCTTTTAATTCAATAATAGATCGGGGTTTTCCCCTTTCCTTTCCCCCATCAGTCAAACAAATCTTGCTCGCCTGATCTGTTTCCTTCAAGTAGGGAAATATGCCTGTGTTTTCTTCTTCAGGAAAGTCAGACTTGTGTAAAATGAGTATGTTCACCTACTGGTTGTTGACTTTAGCCTTTTTATTTTAGTAGCTTCTGCGGAGGAATTCTCAAAATAAAAGCTGTGTCTGCCCAGTGAAATAATCCCAATTCCACTAACAACCATGGTCATTAGAGTCCCCTGAGAGGAGACAATGGTAACGCAAATGTTTGCAGTATCTGCTGTCTATTTCAGTTTACTTCACTTTTCAGTGGTTTTTCTGGGAAGTTAACCATCTTGGCATTCAGGTTAAGAGTCTAGCTGGACCTAGCCTGACTGCCTCTGCATTCTTTGAGCTGTTTAGTTGGCATCTGAGAAGAGTTTGGCAAGAAGAAGCTGAACTTGAAGCAAAGTGCGCTCGCTACTATCAGTAAAAGTTGATTTTGATACCAAGCTACTCTGATCTCTTTGCTCCTCTTCTGCCTTCCTGTTTCCTCTTCAGAACATTTTTGTTAGCACCGATTTTGGGTGGTGGTGTGTGACAGCATTTACTTTAGCAAAATAGTGCGGATGAGTTAGAGCAACTTTTTGGAGAACAGTTGTTGGGGAAAGGTTGATGCTATGTATTTCAGAAGGATGTGTTTCACACTAACTAGTCCAGTGTGCTGAGCGTTTACTATTTATTTATATCTGGAGTGCAGTAGTCCACTCCTGAAATGCATTTTCTTGTTTGGTTTCATCTAGTTCATATTCCCTGAGGCTTCCCTCTGATGCCTGCTGCAGTGCAGGTAGTGGGGACAGTGGGGAGTTTCTGCAGAAGTGCTCTCCTGATCCCAACTGCAGAGCTGGTGTAGGCATGCCCTGCGATCTGTGGAAGTCATTGCAAGGTGTTCTTCCAGGACTGGGTGGAAAAGAGATAGAAGAGTTGAAAGACAGAGAGGTATCCTTTCCCCTTGCTGTGTTGCTCTTTGTTTCAGCTTCCTTTTCTTCAGCAATCCTTTTTCTTGAATATGTGCAGCAATTTGTGTCTTGGTCTCAAAATCTCTTCCTTTCCCATTCCAGTATGTTTAGTGCATTGGAAGCACATACGTAGTGGTTGGGATCTGCAGTATCAGACCTAGCATCTCCAGGTAACTGAAGAGGTTCACTTAGCTTTAGAGGTGAACATCAGCTCCACAGTGAATAACTTACTAAGATCTATATACATTTATACTATATATATGTACTATAAACATTTATAGACTTGAGACATTTATCTTTGTGATCAATGGTTCCTAGGAAGTCATCACGTGTCGGTGATAAGCGAGCTGATAGCAAGTCTCAGTTCTGTGCTCCCTATTTAGAGTGCAGAATTTACTGGGAATTTTAAATTCAGGAACACTGTTTTCTTCAGCTTAGACTCCAGGTGATGGTTGACCTCATAAAGTAACTCTGGCACTGCTCCAGCATACAAGTACGTCCGTGCCTCAAATAACTGGAGAGTATGTATATATTGTACACTATACTGGAATTTGCTTGTAACGCTTAAAGATGTGGTTGAAGTATACTTAGTTTTCAAACACAATGATCTGTGTTCCTAGATTCTCCAGAAGGCCTTGTACATAGTTCTGATTCAGCGTGTGTTTGTCTACAAACAATTCAAGCCAAACTGTAGCAGGATTATGGTTGCCTTCATTGAAGGTTGGGGAATTCGTATGAGTGAGATAATAGTTTAAAAGACAGTGAAATGGGATCCTTGGGGACTGACCTGTATCTAAGTGTTTTGGGACCCTAGGTTATCAGAGCAAATGTTGTCTTATCCTTGGTTAAGGCCATCGTGATCCTGACAACAGCACCACGGTAAATACTGCTGATGAAAGCCTTTATGTCAGCTTAAGTAGGAGCTCTGTATCTGATTTCTTGAGGACGGTACTATAATGTGAAACTTCAATTTTTCTGGTCTTTACAGTTTTCTAGATGATTGTGTCAGCAGAAATCTGTTTGTAAACCACTGGCAAAAGCCAAATCTAATCCTCAGATCCAAAGCCTTTGGATATTTTCCCAAAATGGGGATTTCCCAAAACAGCTTGTTTCTGATAAGCTACAATACCAATTTCAGTAGGTGCTGTAGGATCAGTAAGAGCCAGAGGCCCATTCTGAATGACTCATTTGTATTTTTCATTACTGCTCTGATGCACGTTCTGCTTATCCATGTGACTCAAGGAGGATGACAAAACTCAGAGAGGGTCTGTGTGTGGTTCTGGTAATAGCAACGGTATGGACCCAGGTGGGTTTGAGTCTTGAATCTAATGAGCGTGCTCTTTCAGTGGTCCAGCTTGGTTAGATTTATGTTCTGAACAACAGATGGATCTTTCACCTGTTCTGATGTCTCTATATCTGAGTTCCTGGATGCTGCCAACCTGTTTGTTTATGACTGGTTGCTTCACAGAGAGAAATAGTCTAGCGTGCTAGCATAGGGAGTCTAGTGGAAAAAGTTTTCTCTTCAGGAAAGGTTTTATCTGTTTTGCCAGGAAAACAAGCACTGTCTTTTTGCTATATTGGACTGTCTTCATTTCCTTTAAATGACTTGATCTGTTCCTTCTTTCTGGGTAAACTTAGCAATAATAGCTGCAAGAAGAATGTCACTTCATTGTGTAGTCAAAATTCTTGAGAGGACACAGGTATCTCCTCTCCTCATTTCAGAAGTCCTTACATAATAGGACTTTACTAGTTGCATGAGTCAGTTTCGGGGAAAATGCTGCAGCAAAATGATGATTTTGTTACATTGGGACATTCACTGATTTAAGTAAAGCTTTTGTATTTTGGTTTGGTTTTTTTAAACTCACTAGGTTGTGAGAGAAGACTTTTGTTAAGCTTTGAATTTCCAACCAGGATTTCTGTGTCACATAGTCCTTTGGTGACCAGATGACAGCTGAAGTAATGGAAAATTCTATTTATTGTCACAAAAGATTCTGTGCTGATTACCACTGTCTTTTCTGCCATTTTTGTTGGCTGTGCTAGTAGTCA